GGGAGCGTCCGTGTCCGGCTGCGCTGTCTTAACTTCACGGTGAAGAAGCTGGTCCCCAGTGCTGCTCGTTGCGTTTTCTCCCGTCGGGATGCTTGTTGGGAAAGTCAGGATTGTTTTCAAAGCCACCTGAAATGGACTTGGGAGTCCCTGTCCGGTGGTGCTGCCTGAACTTGGAGCAAGACTTGAGACCCGCCGCAGGAGCGCAGGGGAACTTCGGGGCTCTCTCCCGGATTCCAGCTCCGCGCCCGGGTCCCCTGCGCTGCTCTGCTCTTCGTGCTGCAGCCCGGGATGCTGTGACATGGGACACGAGGGCTGAGCTGCTATCCAGGGCAGGACATGGCAGAGGACGGCTGCAAACAGTGAGAGAACGAAATGACGTGAAATGGATGTGAAAAAGGAAATGGATGTGGAAGACAGAAATTCAGAGCCAACATTCTCTGGCTTGCTTCGTTCGGTTCAAAATGAAAACAGGCAGTTTCCAACCAGGACCTCAATTCTTCCCGAGCTGTTGCTTAGGGATGGTGCTCAAGGAGGAAACTGCTGCTGCGGAGCCTTTACTAAGGAATCTGGCTGCTGAGAGTGGGTTTTGCTGGGAGGGAGGGGTAGGACATAGCACACAAGCCATTTACTGAGCGTTTCAAGGACAATATTGTGGCGCCAGGGCTGGTTTGGGGGAGGAGTGTTTTCATAAACACAGTATGTCTGGGGTCACAACCGCCACCTCCTTCCCTTCCTTCCCATAACAGCCTGAAAGGCTGGGTAAGGATTAGGTTATGCACTTTGATGTTGCCCACTAAATGCCCTGCATGGCTTTTCACAAACTTTGTGCGAAACATTAGGCTTATGTGTTGGCCAGAAACGTGGTACAGTGTTAACTCCTGGGGGAAAGGAGCTTCAGCCCATAGTCTAATGTGGGAGGAGAGGAGAATGGTCTCTGTCTGGACCTTTGTCTGGCGTTTGGAAGGAGCCTTTCCTGCCCAGCAGACTTGGGAGATGATCACAGCAGTCCTAGAAATACATGCTGTTCCTTGGCCCTGCCAGCCCAGACCAAGTGAGCTGAGATGTTCCAAAGATGTCTGATGTCACATTTCAGGTACGTAGTTGAGAAGAGGGCTGCATTCTCACTTGTCTTGCCTAAAGTTACCTGGGAGTTTGTGGCAAAGCAGTTATAGATACTCATGTTGCAAGCTACCACCCCAACGCTTGGCTGCACTTCCCTATGGCCACCCCAGACTAGATGCTGTTTTGGCTTGCTGAGGGTTTTGAACCAGACTAGGGAGGCAGAGTCTGATGGTGGGGTTTGATAGCACCTCATGTTTGCTGGGCAGGATGGTGGGAAGCCACTGACCCACCGGACTCAAACAGCTCCCACAGGATTTTCTCCATCCTCTGCTCACCACACCAGCAGCTTCTCTGAAGAAGACCACAGTGTGGGACAGCACTACATGCACAAACTGCATCCCTTCCTTGGAGAACACCCCTTCGTGTGTGCAGGTGTGCAGCAAGACACCTTTGCAGGCTGTTACCTGTCATTTAAGAACCTCATTGGAGCATATGGTGCCAAGCCACTGGCAAGGTGTCCCCTTCTCTGTCACTCTGGGGAGCCACTGTTCTTTTGGCTCCTGTCACCTGGGAGAGCTCTGAGCCAGCATCTTGGGGAAGGGGTCAGGAGGGACAGGGGCTGCTCAGCAGTGGTGTCACAACTTACTCTTCTGAGAATTCTCTCAGCTGCGTGAACTGTCCTTGTGCTGTGGACCTTCTTGTTATGTTACATATCATTCTGTGGCTTGCAGCTGGGAGGGGGACTCGGCCCGCACACGTGGGACACATCTGGAAGTATTTCTGAAGCCCTCAGGGCCTCCTGGCAATGAGGACTGTTGGGTGGGGAGGGGAGTTGTAATCTCCACACAGAGTTTGAAACAATGGCAGGAGAGGCCATCCATCACATCAGCCCCAAAGGAAAAAGCCTCTTTTCAGTATCTTTCCAGATAGGAGATGGCAGTTTCCTGGGTTTCTGAAAGACCCTAGATGCTGTGGGAATCAAACAGTGGAAGTTCTGACTTTTGCCATTTCCTACCACATATGGGCATGGTCTCCTTAAGGCACTGTCCAGGGTGGGCTCCTGTACAGGGACACTACAAACAGGCAGGATCCTGCCTACATCAGTTAATTGTGTGACAGCTTTTGCACAGAAATAAGTCCTTGGAGGACAGAGGACTTGGTCTTTCTGCTCGGGGCAGATGGGCTCTCAGGTGTCTCTGCATGCACTTGCTGGACTATCAGGACCATGTAATTTGGGTCCAAAAGTAAGCAGCCTTTCAAGTCTGAGAAGACATCCAGAAAAAATGTTTCCAGCAGTCAGTCCCAACTGTGATTTCTCTTTTTTTTTTTTTATTTCCCCAAGTAGAGCTGGAGAAGGAGGGCTTGATTTGCACATCCTATTGGAAATGTGTTGCTTGGGAGGAGGAAATGCAGAGTTGTGGCTGCTGTTGGCCCTTGCTGACCTCGGCAGGAAGGGCAGCAGCTGGAGATGGGTCATCCAGTGGAAGAGGGAATGCATCTGCAAACAGATTATTGGTAGATGCTCCTCCTCACCCACCCTAGCACTGCAGTATGCTGGGGCTGGCAGGCAAGAGACAGGACATGGACAGATGCAAATGGGGCAAATGCTGCTGGTTTATCCCTTTCCTGATTCCCACCACTTTTTGCTCAAACCTCACCAGCTGGGCAAGGTGGGAATGAGGTTAACCACAGCCACCCCCTCTCCTTCTGCCTCGAGACCAGCATCAGCCACAGGCAATTAAAAGACTTGGTTAACTGGGGTTGCATTCTGTACCCTCTCTCTGTTTGTCTCCCTCTCTGTCCCATTTGTCCCAGGTAATCAAAGGGTCCAAAGGAAGTACAGCTGCTGAGAGGGCAGTCCTACTGATTTGTCATGTATAATATCATGGGGGCATGAGTAAAGAAAGCCACATGGAAACAAAGGCTTAACATGCAAAATACTCCTTGAGACACTTTTTTTCCACCATATTTCCAAGGGGATAGAAGTTCATGAAAATTATATTTGACAAAGCTGACCAAATGCAGGTCTGGTCGAGCTTTTCGTATTAATCACGGTGCTTGTCACAGGGTTTTCTGTGCAATGCTCTGCAGTTTTTGCTTGCTAAGAGATACTGCCCACCAGCTGGGAAAAAACTTGGATGTTTCTTTGTTGTTAAATTGCAAAAGGAAGGAGCCAGTTCTCGGCCCTGCATAATTTGCCTTGACCTTGTCCTTGGGATTTTCTTTCTGCTGCTTTTTTCCCAGACCTCTCAGATCCAATGCCTGTGTTCTTAGTACAAAAATAGTGAAGCGATGCAGAAAAAGGTATTTCCGTTGCAGCCAAAATTTCCTGCTGGAGGGCAAAGGGGGACATGGTTGAGAAGAGTTTGAGAGGATGGAAATAACCCTTGCTATACCTGCACTTGGCAGGTGCAGGGATCCAGCCAGTCCTTCCTGGAGTGGGGTGCACATGGGCAGGACTGCTGGGAATGGCTGGAAAAAGGCACTCTACTTGGTTCCCAATGCCTTGAGGCTGCCTGGCTGCTGTCACTCCTGTGTCAGCAGGGCATGGCAAAGCTGCCTGTGTTTGCTCTGGGGGAGCAGGCAGAGATCTCGTGGTGTTCCCTCTCCCCTGGCTGGGCTCTTGCTCTGCCCTCATTCTTGCACTCCCAGCTGGCTCTGGATTTGCCCTGCTCCCTACCAGGGAGCTACTCCTCACATCCCATCCATGCCCTCATGCCTCGGCAGCCTCTTTGTAGCTAATCCCAGTGGTGAGCCTGTGCAGGAGGTGGATACTGTGAACTTCTCCAGCTGCTTTCCAGCCTTGTCTTTAAATGGATTGGCCCTTTGCTCTCTGGCTACGAACACACATAGCTGTGCTCAGGTCCGCTGCCTGCTCTTGCAGGCAGGGCAGGCCCAGACACAAAGCAGAAGCCAGCTGGTGGGGCAGGTAAGGGTGGTGAGGGTCCACCCAGCAGGAGGGGAGACTGCCATAACAGCTGAGGAGCTGCCTTCTGCCACTGCCATCCCCCAGCTGTGCACAGATGTTCAGAAGAGCCTGTTCTGAGAAGAGCCTCTTATGGAGTTGATGGCTTTAGTAATTTAGGCTGAAATTAATTTTGCAGTGCATGCACTGAGGCTGTTTATGGCCAGCTGGGATCTGAGGCAGAAGGACCATGATACCCACTGCCATGCAGAGCCAACTGGCA